TATGTGAGCTGTCACAAGAAAGAGGAAGCAAGATCCCGGGCCGGAGTGCTAGTGAGAGTGTGGAAAAGTTCAAACCTGCCTCACCTTCTAGCAAATGTCCAGTCACTGGATACAAGCTGGATAAACTCAGAAGCAGGATGCCTTTTCAGCGCTGGACGAGCTCTATGGTGTAATGGACAGGACAGAAAATTCACGGCCGGGGACTTTACATCCGCCGACATGAGAAAATCCTGCCGAAGTACTACCAGCACATCAGCTGGCCGAAGCGCGGTAGTAACAACATGTATATAAAGCATATAAAGCTCTCCCTCGCCCTCCCTTTGGCAAATCAGACCACATCTCCCTGCTGCTGCTGCCTGCTTACAGGCAGAAACCAACCCAGTCTCACAAAAAAATATGAAATAGCTACGTTAATCCACAGGGCAAAACGTAGTATATTCACAAATAACCCTCTCAAGACGTGACATGGATACAATATTTTTTCAATAGTATGTTCCTGCAATGCTGGAGACTGCAGTTTCAGGACCGCAGTCCTGGGACCGGACCGCAATCCTTGGACCCTAGTTTTTTTGCAACATCGCCACCTAGCGAACTGGATGCCCGCAAATGTACAACCAGCGAGTATTGAGTGGTACAGTCTCAGAGTCAATGGGATTTCTCCATAGGATTTTGGAAAATAGCTGGAAATAAGGTGTGTGGATGACACAAATTTAAGAGACGGATCACGCTTTGTTCTACGACATTAAATACATCAGCAGTGACCCCACTGGTGATTTTTGAAGAGTTTACTTGTCTGAAAAACGATGGTTGTTAACAAGTGGCTGAATAGGACTACAGAAGTTGTCGAGAACGTTGTACGTCATTATGTCGAACACGTAAACACTCCCGCTAAGTTTGTTTGCCCTGTTTGGCTTGAAAGCAAGTACCTGCACTCTTGCAAACTGTTAAAACAAACGCTTCAACTTGTACAATTCTGAATCTGTATTTTTGAATATGGATCTTAAGTTGGCATGACGTTGAAGTCACGACCCTGCTTTACTCGGCTGTCGTTCCTTTATAGCATAACGTTAGCATTTAGCTTCTGGAGATTAGATTTATGATTTGAAAATTATAAAAGTAGGGTAGACATGTGGGGATTATCCGGCAGAACAAAACGTGTATTTGTCAAACAGGTTCGCTTTCCACAGACCTTATTTCGAGCTATTTTTCAAAATCCTATGGAGAAATCCCATTTTTTGTCGAGGGAACCCATGCGCAGTTTACTTCTGGGTAAATACGTCATCCCTGCACCACTCTATTGAGTCTCATACATAGCGAGTCTCTTTAGACATTGGAATGCTTGTTATTAACGATCTAAAAATGCATGAAAATATTTTTTTCTTTCAGAAATTAAAGAAATATGATGAAAATATGTTTTAATATTTAGCGAGTCTCTTTAGAAATTGTAATGCTTGTTATTAACGATCTAAAAATGCATGAAAAATATTTTTAGGATGATTTAGTTTTATTTTGTGTCTAACTTTCTATTGCTGGGAAATGACGGTGGAAGTGAATCCCTTCCTTGTCTCTCGCCGCCCCATGTCCCCATCCTCCCTCCCTCCCTTTTTCCGTTCTCCCAGACCCCTCTGAAGTCTCCTAGTGGTATTTTATCATGCTTTAATGAAGTGTTCCTCTTAATGGAATGTACCAACATTCCCCATTTCCTCTAGTTTCATTTATCTTGTGCATGCCCAGTGACAGAAAGAGAGCAGCCATTCATATGAAGCCTTTGTCGCTCCAGAGGCAGAAAAACACTAAAACAACCGTCATTAACACTAGAATATCAATACAAACTTCAATTTATAGAAAAACAATAGTGGTGATAATACAAATAATATATGAGATTAACCCTTGTGCCCTCCTCAAATGTACTACCTCTGGACACCTCATTATTTATTACAAAAAGACACACACAATTATATATTTTCAATATAATTAGTAGGGGGATGGGGCTTTGGTCGTTGTTAGAGTCTTGAATATATCAAAGTTTAACACAAAAATTGATTTGATTGCATTGTTATTTTTTACGTAGTGTCAGATACTACTTCTGGACACCTTTGTGGCCAAAAATGCCTAATTTCTCACACTCTAATTGTCGTTCATCTTCATGTATGAAGGTAGATATGGTGCAAAATGCGAGAGCGTGTAAAACCTGATGTGAGCACTTGCAGAAAATAAATCTGAGCTTGTGTGCATACATTTACACTTGTATAAAATATCCACTTAACTGTGAACCAAATGTACACTTCTATAAAATATTCACGTAACTGTGAACCAAATTTGAAGTCACAGAAGAAAAAAAAAAGTTTTGTAGCTTGTAGGAAAAAAATGAACTTAGTGATGAAATATTCACTTGCAGAAAAATACATATTTTTTAAATAAATGTTCCATTACAACTGCAACTTGGTTATTACAACCTCTCAAATCAGTCATTACAACTTGACGAATCTGCTCTGTGGCAGTATAAATCGACGAATCTGCGGTCTTGACCTTTGCTACACTTCTTGCGATAAATGTGTCGCAAAAGTAATTTTCACCTGTAGATGTGGGGGGAGGGAGGTGGGTTGGAGCGAAGGGGCGGAGCTATCAGAACGACGAGGCTTAACTGCGGGGTTCGTGTCGCTACCAGTCCGCTGACATGGCGCGTCAATCAACGGTAAGTTTTGCCCATTACTTGCCCAGTATTACTTTGAATATTATTATTGTGATTGAGGATTAAATCCGCTTTGAAGACCACCGTTTTATATCGTGCAGTTTAGCGGCAAAATAACGTCAGTTAGCCAGCTAACGCTAGCTTTGTTGAGCTAGCTTTATGCTAACTAAACAAGTAGTGGTTGTAGTCTACAGCAGTAATTAATATATTATAGCCTACTGCTTTGGCACTAACGGTTGATAACCGTTTATGAAAATAAAACCAATTGAACTGTACAGAAATAATGACACGTTTTATAATTTTCTTGGGCTCCCGCTGTGTTTTTAAAGCCTTTGTAAATTATCCATGCTATTCTCTATTTAGCTAACGTTGAAGTAGTGTATGTGAAATCAACCTCACAATAAGATGTGTGTATATTACAATTATTAATGTCATATTTCAAGATGATTACTTAGAACACAAACACAAAATGCCGAATCTATATTAATAAACATTAAATTAGCTAATCTTACCTTGTATACTTTAAGTAGTTGTAGGCTTATATTAAATAATAGTTTTTAATTATAAATTGATCAATGTTTTTGCATCCGTTTGACATCTTCGAAAGATCACAGAAGTTGACTTTCTTTTGAAAATGGTGCAGAAAATTCTGTTATAACTCTATTTATCATCGTCAAAGAAAGTTGATACACAATTTATAGAAAACGGAAGTTATGTAATTTATCCCTTTCGACTGTTTTAGGGTATAACGAACAATGTAGATTTTCATTGAAACGTACCTTTTTTTTTGTTGTTTGGGAGTTGAAAGTGACTCACCATCCACTAGAATTCCACTAAATTCTTCAATATAAGTCACATAATTTTCAATTATTGAAGGTAAATAAATTTGGTTATAGAAAGACTAGAAAAATGGTAGCCAAATACTTTTTTATATCATAAAAAGGGAACCGAACTTCAAGTCGAACGACACTCCTCAGTCAAGACAGAGAAGGGAGAGACCAGTCCGGAAGACGTAGTGGACTGTGGAATTGTTTGTCATATATACAATTTTGATGGTACAAATCTTGTTATTTGATAAGAAAGACAAACTTTGTACAACACCTAACAATACGGGCACAGTCCAGGAAAATAAAATGACGATTGAATTTCAATACAATGGTTACGAATGACCAAAACTATAGTAAAACAGAGAACTTAACAAACAGATTTCAGTTCCTAGATCTTGACCATGAATCAAAATTACTATGTCAGACCAATAATACGACAAACCTCCTCCGGAGTGTCCATTCTCGTGGTTGATCGATGGTAGTGTACATGG